AGTCAGTAGGTGAATACAAGTCAAAATGCGTGATGCATGCAAATAAAATACAGAACAACTTCGCTTGTGGAGAGTGGCTACATACATGCTTGCATCATATTATGCAAATATATTTATATACTAACCTTGCTAGCTTAGCTATAGAGAGAAACATTTCCACCGTTTCCAATTCATTGCGGTTGCATCTATGTGGAATGGTGTGGTTATTGCCGCTAAAAACGGTCAAAAGCCACTCTATCAATAAAAAGTAATTTGTTGACCATTCTTTTTTTCTTTTTTGAAGAACTGTAAATTAAATTCATAGCAATAACCAGAGAGAGAGAAGAATAGAGAAAGCAAACAAACAAACAATGAGCTACGTGACATTTTCAATGGAAAATAAATATTCGTAAAAAATGGAAAATAAATGTTATAGAGATTTTATGACCTATAAAATGTAAACACACAAAACAACAAAATCAAAGTGTAAGATAGGATAATTTAAAAAATAAAAGACTATTTCAAACTAGAAGGTTAAAATTGTTAGATAGCCACTTGCTTGAATTCTCTCACTTAGCTGATGTCTTCACATTCTCACCATTTGCTACAGCGGAAAGATGACATGAGAGTGATTCTAGCAATTGGAAAAGATGAGAAATTGAGTGAAACATAAAAATTAAAATAAAAAATTAAAATTTTAGGCCGCGTTGAATCATAGTTCAAATAATTTACCCAAGATTTCAACCTAATCAATTCACACAAATCATGTTTCCTACTGGTATCTTCCTTTAATATTCTTCTCTGTCTACCTGCTCCTGCAGTAAATTAATATTCTTTGATGTGCCCTTCTACAACCTTAAATGTGTTTTCTTGAAGCTATATATAAGTAGCTAGAATGGTTTTGAGAACCCATCAAGCATATTACCTTTTTACTGCTTTCATCCTATACTCCATTTCTGAATATTTTTCATTTCTGTGCAACCACAGGGTCCAAATGCAGCTAGCAAAATACCTGCTCTTATCATCTAATTTCTAACTATCCTCAAGTACTTGTTTACCATATTTCCTTGACACACTCTTCATTTTGGTTCGCCTTCATCTTTGTTTTTAATCTCATCAATTTCAAAATGAAGATTCTGGGTGGAGGGTCTCTTCAACTTATCTACACATTCCTGATTTTACTGCATATGCAATCTTCCATTGGAATCAGTTCAGCAACCGCTGATGATGAAGTTAGGTGCATACAGAGTGAAAGACAAGCGCTTCTGGCATTTAAGCAAGGTCTGGTTGACAAATATGGTCGGCTTTCCTCATGGGGCAGTGAAGACGAGAGAAAGGATTGTTGCAAATGGGAAGGAATTCAATGTAGCAACACAACTGGGCACATCATTGTGCTCAATCTAACAGTACCATATTATGATGATCTTCAGTTAAGAGGTAA